GAATCGAAAACGTCGGCGCTGCAGCGGGAGCACGTTTTGGACCAACGAGAGGCGCAGAAATTGGGCCAGCGCTGCAGCGGGAGCGGGAACACGATTCGGAAGGAGCGGGAGCCCGAAAATTAGGCCAGCGCCTCAGCGAGAGCAGCATTTTAGAAAAAAACACAAGCGAAAACCCAACTCCGGGGAATCCTGTGTGTAAAAAAACAGTACGCGGGGGGGTGCCGAATGTCTTCCGGACGCCATCAGGGGAAGTGGGAGAGTAGTATTCATATTGTGTAATTGTCAAGGATGAGGCGGGGCGGAGAGCGGAGGCGGCGTGACTTCGGGACGCCTGTCGCGTTCGACGCGTCATCGAATCGGTCATTTCTGCACCTGTTTGTCCCTGTGGTGAGCCTGACGACGGGGCGGCGCCCTGCAGCGGTGGCTACTGTAGACGTAATGTTGTGCTGTAGGGCGTTTCTTTGGAATTTGTCCCAATGTAGTATGTGACACTGTGCTCTGTTATATGTTCTGACCTCGACGAGCCGGCGTGACGTCGTGACGCCTGGGCGAGGCCGTGGAGCAGTGGCTACTGTATACGTGATGGTGTGCTATGGCGTGTTTGATTGGACTCTGCCGCAATGCAACATGTGATAGCGTGTTCTGTGTTGTTCTGATCTCGATGGGCTGTCGAGACGTCGTGACGCCTGTCACGTTAGATACGCCGTCGAATCGCTTTGCGTTGTGGCACCATGTTTGGACATGAAATGCTCTGTCCGGCTATGTTATAACCTCTTCTGTTCAGTAATATTGTGACAGATCAGCTCAGTATAGAATAGTATGATATGGTTTTTAGTACGTGTTGCCATGTCCGGTTCTGTCGCGATACTCTTCTCCAATATTGCCGTTGTTGTGTTCAAAAGTGTTCGACAATGTTCCGTGTGGTAACGGTCGATCATGTTATGTTCTGATATGTCCGATGATGTCCTCGATGGGCCAGCGTGATGTCGTGACGTTTGGGCGACGCCGTGGAGTGGTGGCCACTGCATAGGCGATGTTGTGCTATAGTAAGTTTGGTTGGGACCTGCCCTGATGTGGTATGTGATACTTTGTTTTGCGATGTTGTGATCTCGACGTGCCAGCGTGGCGTCGCGACGCCTGTCCCTTCCACAAGGTTCCATGTAGTAACGTTCTACACTGTGATGCTCTTTTATGTCCTGTTGTGTTCTCGACGGGCCGGCGTGACGTCATGAGCGTCTGTGTGGTAGGATTATGCCCCAATGTACTATGTGACACTGTGCTCTGTGATGTTATGATATCGACGGGACGGCGTGAATCGCTCATTGTTGTGATTGTTGGTTCTTGTGGCCAAGCTGACCAACATGTACGTACGGTACGTTATGTTATGATATCAGTCTGCCCTTCCGTTATCTCTTCCATGGAAGTATGTTCTGTCATGTTCGATTCTGCCACAACATGCGTTGGTATGACATGTTCTGCTCTGCTCTGTGGCACCATGCTAGGACATGATATGTTCTGGCAGGTTACGTTATAGTATGCTACGTTCCGTGATGTTGTTGACGGCCCAGGTCAGTATAGTATAGTAGGTCTTGTTCTCTCAGGATGCGTTGTTGCCCTGTTCTGTCGTGGTACTCCTCTCCACAATTGCACAACTATCGCTTCTGGATGTTTAAAAGGTTTAATCGCGTTCCATGTCGTCACGTTCTTTCATGTTACACTTTAGTATGTCCTCTTGTGTTTTCGACGGGACGGCGTGACTCCGTGACGCTTGTGACTTCAGATGCACAGTTTGTTATGATGTTCCTCTTTACATGCATGTTTCCTTTATGAGTGTGAATGTCATGGTATACTTATCTCTGTCACCATATACTTTGAGATGCTATGGCAGTGTCTGCTCTGTGGCACTATGATATGTTATGTCAGGTTATGTTCTAACATGCTCTGTTCCGCGATGCTGTTGACAGCTCGGTTCAGTATATTATAGTATGTTATGTGATGCTGTTGACAGCTCGGCTATGTTTTATCATATCAAGATGTGGTGTGTTATGATCGGACATGGTATGTTGTCTTATTTCGTCGTCTGCTCTGTCATGTTCTGCTCTGGTATGTTCTGTGATGTTCCGTTTGTTGACGGCCCGGTGTTGCGTTATATAACATGTTTTGTTACGTTAGTATGTGTCATTATGTTGCCGTGTTATGATATGTTCTGCGAGGTTGTGCCATGATGTGATATAGTATGTCAAGGTGTATGTTGTGTTGCTCGGTTATGTTATGCTAAGGTATGTTCTAACGCCTTCTGTTCTGTCATGTTCTGATATGGTATGGTATGTAATTTTACGTTACCCTCTAGTTTGTCATGACATTGGTATGTTATGTTCTGTCATGTATTGTCTTGCTCGTGTGTTGTTCGGTCATGTTATGTTGTGTCATGGTGTGTTCTTTCGTGTTCGTCGTCGATATGGTCTGAAGTCGTGTTCTGATATGTTCTGCGAGTCGGTGTCATGATATGATATGCTCTGTCAGGGTGTTCTGCTATGGTACGTTATGACATATTATGTTGTGGTATGTCGTCTTCTGTTCTGTCATGATTATGTTATGGTATGTTATGTGATGTTCCGTTTGTTGACGGCTCGGTTTTGTACAGTAGATTATGATATGTGTTGCTAGTATGTGTCGCTATGCTCTGTTGTCGGGATATGGTATAGTATGTGATGCTGTGCCATGATATGATATGGTATGTCAAGTTGTGCTCTGGTATGATCGGTTATGGTATGGTATGTTGTGTTATGTCGTCTTCTGTTCTGCCATAATTATGTTCTGGTAGGTTGTGTGATGTTCCGTTTGTTGACGGCTCGGCTATGTGCGGTATATTATTATACGTGTTGTTAGTATGTGTCGCCATGATTTGTTGTAGAGATGATATAGTATGCGATGTTGTGTCATGATATGATATGTTATGTCAAGTTGTGCTCTGGCATGATCGGTTATGTTATGTTGTGTTATGTCGTGACATGACATTGTTATGTTATGACATTGCTGTGTTATGTTATGTTCTGTCATGACATTGCTGTGTTATGTTATGCTCTATGTTGTCATGACATTGCTATGTTATGTTATGTTCTGTCATGCTCGTGTTTTGGTCTGTCATGTGCTGTCGTGTCACGTTGTGTTCTGTCGTGTTCGTCGTCGCGATGTTCTGCTCTGTGATGCTGTGTCAGGATCTGATATGTTCTGTCAAGATGTCTCTTTATGCTCGATTATGTTATGTTATGTTGTGTTCTGTCGTGTTCGTCGAGGGCGCGAGGCGGGATCATCGGGACAACTTGGTGTCTTGCGGTCGCGGTATGCAGTGTCGGGTTGGCCGGGCGCGAGGCGGGACACCCGGGATATTCGGGACATTCGGGACAATTCGTGGTTTGGCGGCCGTGGTATGCAGGGTGGGGTTGGCCAGGCGCGAGGTGGGACACAAGGGATATTTGGGATACTCGGAAGACTTCGGGGTCTGGCGGCCGCGGTATGCAGGGTGGGGTTGGCCAGAGGGGCTTGTTTTTGAAATCTATCAACCCCAACCTGTCGGGTGGGGAACAATAGGTACGTACATCGACATATGTAGATGTATGGTCAGAGCTTGTGAGATGGAGACGGGGGACCAAATGTATGCTTGAAGCAGAGTTTATGGATGCACAAACCCACACTGATGCTACGATGTGTGCCCACTGATGAGTTAAAGTGCGGGTGCAGTTCTCATCAGAATAGTTGTCAATCCCGGCCGCAAACGTCTTGATCACCCGAAGGGTAGTTTTATATGTGCGCATCCATACATGAAAATATACATACATACACACATGCATACATACATACATATATATATATACATACATACATACATACATACATACACATACACATACACATACACATACACATGCATACAGGCATGCATTCATACGTCCATGCGTACATACGTCGGGGGCGGAAAAGAGGGGGGTGATGACTAGGGGGGGGTGGATATCATGGCGCGGGCCATGATATTTCCCCAGATTTCGTGGCGCCTCTTCTTGTTTTATTACGTCCCAGGCCCCCCGCTGGGCCGCGCACATGCCGCCGGTCATGATTTGCGCCCCCCCCTCTTAGACACCCCCCTCTTTGCCGCTCCCGAATACGCACGCACTATATACACACGGACATACACACATACATACACACATCTATACATCCATCCATACATATATCCATCCATCTGTACATACGCACATGCATACTTGAGCACATACATATAAACATATGTGTAAAGTCATGCATGCATGCATAAACAGTGACACATACGTACATGCATGCATGCATAGATTCGTTCATACATGCATAAGCACGTACATACATTCTAGCTCGCATACCAAAATACGCACATCATACGTCCATACATCCATCCATCCATCAATCCATCGATACATACATGCAGACATCCATACAAACAAACAAGCATACATATGTATAAATATACATATATCTAATTCAGTGATGCATTCAGTCAATCCCGATTCCACAGCGCGTCATTATCATCCGCTCCCCGACGATACGGACGCCGAGGACGTCGATGATCGCGACGACGACGGCGATCGTGACTACGACCAGGGCGACGATCACGTCGACAATCAGAAGGCAAACATGACGTGGACGATCACGATGACGACGACGCCGACGACGCTTCTGGATGTATCTTGAGGCCCCTTGGGACTCAAACAAAAATGCCAAACACTGACACGCCGGGTTCTTCGGACACGGATCTTCGAATTCCAGCCGTCGATCGGCAATCGCCCATGACGACGACGCGACGCCGACGACCGACGACCGACGACGGACACGTTCGCCGACCGACGCCGACGACGTAGCCGACATCGGGCAACGACGGCGACACTGTGGCGACGCCGACGACGGCCGGTCGTCGTCGACGACGCAGACGTCGACGACACGGGCGCGCGGGGCCGCCGCCGGCCGCGAAGGGATCTCGAGCTCGCCGAGATGGGCGGGGAGGCGGGCGCCTCGCTGCGGGAGCTGCCCGAGGCCCCCGCCTCCGTGCGCGGGCGGCCGCGGGCCTCGGCCGCCGGCGCCGCTGCCGCTGCCCTTCGCCGAGGGCGCCGTCGTCGGCGGCGGCGTCGTCGAAGGCATGGTCGTCGTGAGAGACTCCAGGGGGAGGTGGGCCTACCCGTGGGGCCTGCCCCCGGGGCCTGCACGTAGGGCCTACCCGTAGGGCCTACCACGAGGCCCAGCGCCGACGTCGCGGTCGTCGTCGCGGGCGCAGGGGGCGCCCAGCGTCAGCGTGGCGAAGGCGTCGTCGGGTGCGGCGTCGTCGCCGTCGGCGTCGTCGCCGTCAGCGTCGTCGCCGTCGCCCGAGCGGGGGAGGGGGAGGTGCTGCAGGGACGAGGAGGGGGTGGGACGGAAGAGCAGTGACGAGGTGGACGAGGCGACGAGGGAAGAGGGAAGGGCGGGGCCAGGGTTGAGTCGGGCACGTCCCTCGACAGGAGGAAGATTCAGAAATAGTAAACGAATGATATGAGGACGATTGTTTGGCTAGTTTTGAGGATTTGGGGGGTATTTGTGTTGACAATTTTAATTTTTTCGTCAAAAATCCACCTGCAGGCGGACATGCCCGACCTAAGATCAGGGTGGAGGGGGTCCTCGGAGCTCCCGGAGAAGGGCTCCCTGGACCCAGAAGCCCGATGATGAGATTGTTTTCAATGGCAGAAGGTCATGACCGCTTCTCTTAGTGCAGGTCGGGCCCGAGATATTTTTGAGCGTGTAGGCTGCATGCCCCTCTACAGGAGGAAGATTCAAGAACAGTCAAAAAATAGTATGGGGACGAGTTTCCGTGCTCTTTGACGATGAAAAATCTTCAAGCAAATTCGCTTGTAGCAGGACGTGCCCGACCTAAGTGTAGCCCGATCGCGGGCCTTGGAGGCCGAAGGCGAGAGAAGACAATGGGATCAGTAAATTCGCACCGTCGGAGATATGGGAAATCGGCAACTCGAAAGAGTGACCGTTCGCCAGAGTGACCGTTCGCCGGAGTGACCATGGGTGCGAGACCACTCGGGGCTCAAGAGACGGGAGTCAATGCAAAAGGTGGTCAGTCAGAGCGCCGGATCTTGCAGGATCCAGCAGCGCCAGGGCTGCACTGACCCGGGCTTGATTGCATGATCCTGCAGGAGTTTGCCGGATCCTGCATTGCCCGACTGACCGGGGTTTGGATCGACCTTGGTCAGAGGATCCCCGAAGACCACAGGGCCCCGCCCCCCCCACGCCTCCCGTAAAGCTGCCGGGCCACTCTTGCCCGGGGCCACTCCTGCGCGCGGCCGATTCTGGGAAAGTGCCCCTGGAGTTATCTTGCTCCCACTTGAGGACCGCATCCCAGGATAAAATTTATTTCGAGCACCCCGAACAGATGGAAACGGTGTCGAACGCGACTCGCTTCCCGGGGCCCGGCACGTGAAAACCCTCACGTTTCCGCATTTCTCTTGGCGCTCGAACTTCTTCCCGGTGGTCATGGCGAAAGTGGGCTGAAACAGCATAACCCTGGAGGCTCGCCCCTCTCGCGGGTGCGCCCGCCGGGAGGTCATCACGGCGGGCTGGATGGAGGACGCGGCCCGGCCGCGGCCCTCCACGCCGCACGTGCGGGGGGGGCCCCGCGTCGGCGTCGCCGGCGGGCGGTTTGCCTCCTCCATTCGGGGGTCGAGGAGGGGGTTGCGTGGATAGGAAAGAGCTTCCAGGTTGAACAGGTTGAATGTATAGCTTGTTCAGGGCATCCCCACATACGGAATGATCTGGGCGTGCGCGGGCCTGAGCACGAATGAGTCTGAATATGAGCGAGGGTTGGGTGCGACCGAGCGTGGGTGTGAGTGGGTCTGGCTGTGAGTGAATCAGAATGTGTGTGCGCGTCTGAGTATAGCAAGCGGAGCACGAACGAGTCCGATGGTGAGCGGGTCCGATTGTGACTAGGTGTGACCATGGATTAGTCTGACAAGTGAGTTTGGATAGTTCTGTCTGAGCATGAGCAACTACTTGGGGAGGAAACGGACATGCAAAAACCAACACCCAAAAACCCCATTTTGGGAACAATCTCGTCTGGGACATCCCAAACCTATCTCTAGCCTTCCAAGGGAGCCCCCTGTGGCTCCGAAAGCCGGCCAAATTGACCCCCGAGAGGCCTCAAGGACGGCTCGAGCAGAACCAAGAGGGGCCAAGATGCCCCGCCGCAGCCGCTTTGATCCAAGCGGCGGTTTTGTTCCATCCCAGAACTTCACATCCATGTGTTCGCAGCCGATTAGCATCAGGTCAACGTCCATCCCTTCGTCGTGGTGTCGTCGTCAATCGGTGGTGCCGCTATCGACCTGGGGTGCGTGATCCAGGGCGTGCCCAACATCCACGAAGCTGTAAACTCGTCAAGTTCAGCCCCGCTTATCCTGAACCCTAGATCGCGAGTCATACTCCCTTAATTGTAAGTTCCGATTATATCGGAGGTTGGGGGGTGAGATCGCAGTGGAACGGAGACCCCCAACCAGCAAATCGTTTCGTTTCGTTCGTGTCGTGCGTGCGGGCGAGGCGAAGTTGCGTGGGCGCGCGAGAGGAATGAACCCGCCGCTGCTAGGGCGAAGTCAAGACAAATGATTCTCCCCCGCCTGCCCGTCCGGCGGTGTCCCGCGGTGTCTTGTGCTGTCCCTTGGTGTCCCGTGGTGTCCGCAGTTGCTAGGGCGAAGTCAAGACAAATGATTCTCCCCCGCCCGCCCGTCTGGCGGTGGCTCGCGGTGTCCCGCGGTGTCCTGTGGTGTCCCGTGGTGTCCCGTCGTGTCCGCAGTTGTTAGGGCGAAGTCAAGACAAATGATTCTCCTCCGCCCGCCCGTTTAGCGGTGGCTCGCGGTGTCCCGCGGTGTCCCGCGGTGTCCTGGGCCGTCCCTTAGTGTCCCGTGGTGTTCGCAGTTGCTAGGGCGAAGTCAAGACAAATGATTCTCCCCCGCCCGCCCGTCTGGCGGTGGCTCGCGGTGTCCCGCGGTGTCCTGTGGTGTCCTGTGGTGTCCCGTGGTGTCTGCAGTTGTTAGGGCGAAGTCAAGACAAATGATTCTCCTCCGCCCGCCCGTCTGGCGGTGGCTCGCGGTGTTCCGCGGTGTCCCGTGGTGCCCCGTGGTGTCCCGTGGTGTCCGCCGTTGTTAGGGCGAAGTCAAGACGAATTATTCATGGGCTTACGCCACACCGCCGACCCCTTGGGGCGGTGTGGGTTGCGTCGTTTGGGGCTTCTTGGTCCGAGTTGGGGTGCTCTCGGGTGCCTCTTGGACCGTCGTCAACGTTGATAAGGCAGTCGAGTCGTACATACGACAAAAATCAAAGGGGGCCTTCTTGGGGGGCCTCATCGACGCCGTTTCGGCTGTGGTGGGGCCCTCTTGGGGGCCGCTTTGGGCCCCATGGGGGCTTCTCGGGGCTGGTTGCTCGAAATGGCCATTGTGGTTCTCCCTCTGGGCCTCCTCCTGCGTGCTGGGGCGTGGCGCCAGGGTGTGCTGAAGGGTGATGGCGTACTGGGGCGTCGCGCCTGAAAAATCGCGGGTTGTTCAGCAGATCGCCACGCATGGAGGAGGAGGAGGAGGAGGAGGAGGAGGACAAGGAGGAGGAGGAGGAGGAGGAGGAGGAGAATGAAGAAGAGGAGGAGGAAGAGAAGGAGGAGGAGGTGGAGGATGAGGAGGAGGCGGAGGAGGAGGAGGAGTCTTGGGACCGATTTTGCCACACATGGTGGTCATCCTAACCTCCCCTTCGGCGTCATCCTCCTGCCCCCCCTGTCCCCCCCTATCTACGTGCCGATGCCCGTCGGCACGCAGAGGGTCTGAGTGACGGCGCGCGTCGGGACGCAGCGCGTGTGCGTGACGGCGGCGGTTGTCGACACGCAGGGGCTGATGCCGACAACAACCTGCATGGCAAACTGTATTTACCGAGGGCGCAAAAGGGTATTTGCCGAGGGCGCAAAAGGCGCTTTCGATTCACAACTGCCAACCCCGCCTCCGATATCTGGTGAATAGACCCCGCGGTGCTCGAAGCTATGTCTTGAAGCACGCGCGCTGTTCGCGGGCGTCGGCGCAGGAAGCGTGTATTCCCAGACATGGCTTTCATATAGAGATGTAATATGGATCGTACGCTTTCGAGGTAATGTTTTTTTTTATGCTCATGCACAACATTGTCGTGCTCACAGGTATCGTCGTCATCGTCGTAGCCTACGGCGGCCTTACGCAGCCGCTGACCCCTCCACTCCCTCGGGCAGTCGCAGCGAGTCGTCGCTCTCCCCAGCGTCGTCGATTACAGTGATCCTGCACAGCACACGCACACACATAGCTACACCATGGCGCATCCGCAGCGCGCCGCCGTCTTCGATCGGTCGGTCGGGCGTCGTTGTCGTTCTCGTCGTCGTCGTCCACGGCGGTCTATGGCGGCCTTGCGTAGCCCGCCCGCCCCCACCCCCATAGGGGATCCGCAGCGTGCCGTGGTGGTCGTCGTCGTCCGTCGTCGCCATCGTGTTGCTCTCAAGCAGCTTGCACATTGCGGGCACCAGCTCCCCTACACGACTGCATCAAAACGATCCTTTTTCATACAGAATTCGTATCAGTGACTGTACACATCTGCTGCGACGGTATTCCTGGCCATCGCAGGCCACTGTGGAGGAGTTCGCAGGCATATTGTGGGTGGGGAGCGGGAGAAGTCGAAGGGGGATGAGAAAGGAGAAGTAGCTGCCTTTCCCGCCCACGTCTGCCGGTCCACGCCCTCCTCCTTGTCCTGTCTGTACCCATGTTGCCCTGCCCCCCCCCGCCAGCTGTAGCGGAGCCGCCGGCGTCGCGCCTGTCCGCCCCTTTCCAGCGGCGGGGTGCCGGTTCTCAGCGCAGCGTCGGCCGTTGTAGCGCCCAGTTGGATTGGCGCCCGCCGCCTGTTGCCCGATGTCGAGAACCACATCAAGACATCGCACTTGTCCGGTGTTTTCTCGACCACGAGCTTCAGGAGGGGAAAAAACACACAGACACAATGAATCGTCCACTCCCAGGAAAATATGGGAAGTGGGGGGGAAGACAAAAGCTAAAAAGATATGGGAAAACATGGGGAATCATTGTATTTGTGTGTATTTATTTGTGTGTCCTGGGGCCCCTTCAGAGCTGCCATTGCCCCGACGTGGGTTTGATGCGGACTCGGGGCGGCTGCGTCGCGGATCTGGCGCAGATCCGACGCGCTCTGCGCGGATGCGGCGCGAATCGTGGCGCGATGGGACTGACAAAGCCCCCCTTGAGATGGGTCGTGGTTGGCTGCTGGGGTTAAGTCGGGCGTGTCCCTCTACAGGAGGAAAATTCCAAATGGTCCAAAAATAGTATGGGGACGATTTCTTTGCGTTTTGATGATTTGTTTTTGAGTATTTGTTTGCATATGTTTTATGTTTCGTCCAAAATCCGCCTGTAGAGGGACATGCCCGACCTGATGCTGGGGGGCCCCGGGCGGTCGGGCGCGTGTCGAGCACCCAGAAAAGTATCGAAACATTGTCAAACGAGTATCGCCTCCCAGGGCCCGACACGTGAAAATCATAGAATTTCGGTACTTTCTTGGTGCTCGAAATTCTTCCTGGTGATCAAGGCTAAAGTAGGTTGGAACATCACAACTCGAGGGCGCGAAGTTCTTCGCGCCTCGCGGTTCGGTTCCGGTTCCCCATCCTCCTCTTGTCCCCGTAGGGGCGGCGCGAGAGCGCCAAGCGATTCGCGTCTCGCGCAGCGCGAAGCGCGAAGGCAGTCGCCCTTGGATCGGGAGCGAAAAAAGGACGCACGCGTACATGAATCCACGTTGGTTTCGAGAGCACGCGTTGCGCGAACGTTCGTAGCGGGCGGCCGGTGTCACGGATTGGGGGGCCGTGTTCACGTACACGGTTGGGCGCGTACGTTCTTTGTGGGCTCCTTATTTCAGGAGTGGAAAAAACACACAGACACAATTAATCGTCGATCCCCCGGAAAATATGGGAAAATATGGGAAGTGGGGGGGAAGACAGAAACCCGGAAAATATACGAAAATATAGGGAATCTTGTTATTTGTGTGTATTTATGTGTGTGTGTGTGTCCTTGGGCCCCTTCACTATTGGAGAAGGGGGGGAGGGGTAATTACGGGATCGGTGGCGTGCAGGGGTCTGCGCCCCCGCCGCCCGGGTCACTCGGAGGCGGCCAAGAGGGGGGTGGTGGCTAGGGTTAAGTCGGGCGTGTCCCTCTACAGGGGGGATCTTCAAAAAGGATGTTTTGTTGTTCGTCGAAAATCCCCCTTGTAGGGGGACAGGCCCGACTTAAGACTAGGGGGGGTGGATGTCATGGCGGGGGCCATGATATCTCCCCAGATCTCACGGCGCCTCTTCTTGTTTCAATACGTCCCCAGCCCCCTGGGCCGCGCACGTGCCGCGGGCCATGATTTGCGCACCCCCCTCTTGGACGCCCCACTCCTGGACGCCCCCGAGTTATCTCTTCGATGCGCGCAGGGCGTCCGATGCCAGGAGGGGCCGGGGGAAAGAGCAACGTGGCCGAATTCCCTCCCCCCGCCTTTTTACAGTGGAGCCCATGCCAAGAAACACCCTGCTCGCCTCCAGGATGCCCTGGGTTTCTTGGGTTTCGATGGTTTTGCTGTGGAAAGCGTGACGCTCCCACACGAAAAATCAATGGACGTCCTGGGGTCTGTAGAAGGTTCCTTGTGGACTGGCCTCAATTGGTATTGTGGGCGGGAACCATATCCATATCCACGGACTCGCGGGCCGGGCTACTGCGCCGCGACCCCATGTCGTTAAGCGGGTTGTTCCCGGATGCCCCGCGCGAAGAGTATCCATGCGACCGCGCATTCATGGGATCGCGCGTCGGAGTCCAGACCAGGAGTCCGTGGGTATAGATGGTCCAGGGTTTGGGCCCCCCTCCACCCCCCCCTCATGCTGATGCCATCGCCCCCCTCCCCTCCCCCCCCGCGCAATGGCCCCCCCCCCCGTGGGTGTGGTGTGGTGTTGCGGGTGTGGCGTGTGTGGCGTCGTACAGAGGTGCTCCAGGAGAGCTCTGGAGGTCGTCGTCGCCGCCGTCGTCGGAGGAGGAGGGCTCCAGAGGTCGGCGGCTGCGCCGCCGCCGCCGCCGCCGCCGTCGTCGTCGTCGTCGTCGTCGCTGTCGTCGTCGTCGTCGTCGTCGTCGTCGTCGTCATCGTCGTCGTCATCATCGTCATCGCCGTCGTCGCCGTCGTCGTCGTCGTTGTCGTCGCCGTCGCCGTCGTCGTCGTCGCCGCCGTCGTTGTCGCCGTTGTCGTCGTCGTCGCCGCCGTCGTTGTGGCTCGATCTCGGCGGAAGCTCCGTTGCCCTCCCGGTCGGGCCCTCCTTCGCGGGGTGGCGCTCCCGCGTTCGCATCGGGCCCCAGCTAGCTCGGTTCTTCATCGACCTCCTCGGGGTGTCGCTTGGTTTTGTGAGCTAATGAGATGGTGATAGAACTTTCGGAGTTCGGTGCGGATTTCTTCGCACGGTTCGGCACCGGAGGCACCGCAAGGTGGTCAGCGCCAATCCAGGAGAGCCGCTCGGACCTCCAACAGCTTGTGTTTATGTTGGGCCTCCCCCGTCTGTTGAGCCGACCGTACCAGAGCTGCCCGCTTGGGCGCCATGCGTACAAGAAGGTGCGTGACCTATTCCCTCGCGGCGAGGCCCGTGGCGCGACGCCTTGCCTCGCTCCGGAGGCGCGCAGTCCGCCTCGAGGTGCAGATGTGGGGCGCTCTCGGACGGGGCTCGGGCGAGGATGAATCGGCGCTCTGAGAAGGCCACGGCGCCCAGAGACATCTTCTGGAACCGCCGGAGCTCAGAACTTCCCGAGTCATTATCGTCCGATGTATTATCCTGGTCATGGTTTCGTCTTGTGTGTTGGTTCTGTTCGCCATCGGAGATTTGGCGATAATCGCGTGTGCTCGTATCAGTGCGCCTCGCTCTGCTTGCCGACGCCCACCAGCACGCAGGGGATCTGCGTGGCGACGCGCGTCGGCACGCAGTGCGTGACGGTGGCGGGCAGATGTTGCTGACGACAACGGTTTGACATTTCAATTGTGTTCGCCGATGGTTTACCTCGTTCGCAGGGAGATGGCAAGGCGGACGTTGCATCGGCCCTCACCCCAGTGCCCCGACCCGAATCCCGACCTGGCCTCCCATGGTGCTGGCTCTCTCGTGCTCGTTCTGCTCTTCTCGGACCTCCTCCCGGGGCCCGCGCTCCTCATCTGGCCACTCCCGCCCCCGTCCCTCCAAGAAGGACAATCTACATGAGCAGAAACTTTTGGGCTGAACACCCCCTGACGGCTCATCGGACGCCGCGCCGTTCTAAGAAGGCCGTGCTGACCTCCGAAAGTTGATGTTTGTACCTTGGCCCATGCTTATTTAACGGAAGAAACGGGGTATGGCCACCCCGATTCCTGGCCTCGTTCGGGCAAACTGTTTTTGGTTAAATTTGGGGATGTACGACGGGGTGGGATCCATCTTCGGCAGGGGTGCGTCTCGATCGCCCCCTGGGGATGTAACCTCGAGTTCCCTTTTCTGATCGGCCAGGTTGTTTTGGACGGCTCGGGGAAATGGGGAGAGAAATCGCCTGAGATTCTAATCCCGTGCCGCGACTCCTTCACCCCAGCGGCTCTTCCACGTTTTTCGCCTTGCCCCACGCCTCCCCGCACGGCTTGCTTATCCTACCGCGAGCCAGCTTCTTCTCTTATTCGCGGTAACGCCCGTGATTGGCCCTTCCCCCTTCCCCCCTTTTTCCCCCCATGGTCACGTCACGATTCGCGCTGGCTCCGACTGGGAATTCGCCAGTCCCCTGGCATTCCCAGACGGCGCTGGCGCGAAGTCGTGACCGGCCCCCTCCCCCTCCCCCCCCCTCTCCCGAGGGTCATGCCCGTTCTCGCCAGGGGATAAGAAAATTTGCTCCGCATCCCTACCCCTCTGGTGCATCGCCGATGCGACGCGATCCTCCGACCCCACCTGCGCGGCCTCGTTTGGGAGACCTCCGCTTGTCCTGCCGCGCCCCTGCCCTTCATCTTCCCCCTGCCACAGAGAGTCGCGCGCACCAGCAGAATGCTGGGGGGGAAGCACAACGTCCGCCAGACGCTCCTGGGGAGGAGCGGGGCGAACATTGGGCGTCGCAAAAGGGGGGAGCGAGAATTGGGCGGGCAGCGAGGGCTGCAGAAAAGGGCCCCGTGAGGCCCTTGAGGGGGCCCTGTAGGCCCAAAAGGGGGCCTCCAGGGTCCGAAAATTAAATGTTTCCCCCTCTCACATGTATCGCCCTCACTAAGCGACGCCCAATAGCAAGCCGGGGAACGGGGAGACTCGCGCGACGCTGCGCCGTGCCAGTCCCGCTGCCGCTGCCGGAGGACCACTCCGACGCCGTCAGAGCAGCCTTGGTGCCGCCCGTTGCCCTTTGTTTTTGTGGCGTCCTCGTTCCCTCCCCCCCGCCTGCCGCCAGCCTCTCCTTCCCCCTCTCTTTTTTCATAGGTGTCCAACCTTTGGTGGCGAAAAGGTGGCCTGCACGAAATCCTTTGTTTCCCATCAGTCCCCCATTGTAGTTGGCCGTCGTGCTTTGTCATGTTTGCGCGTAGCCTGACATGTCGGTCGTAGTCCCTGGCAGTGAACAGCATGATTACCGTACAAATACAAACCGAGTGTTGTCCGAGCATGGCTTCCTCTTTGCACGGAAACGACACTGCGGCCGCGCGAACATGAACTATTCGTGCACGACCACAAGACCATGTCCGCACGAACGCGAATTTCTGCTCGCACGCGTACGAAATCAACTCCGCACGAACACGACATGAAGCATGAATTGTTGCAGGAACGCCAGCACGAAATACCGCGCGAAATTGTACGCACGAAATTGTTGCACGAAGTCTCAGGCGGTTCCTGGTTTTTGGGGGCGCTCGGACGCGCGGCCGGGCGTTCGCGAACGAGACAGGGGAATCTATTTCGGGGCCTTTTCGTGCGGCCATTTTGGGCGGCAAGTCTGGGGCCATTTCGCGTGGGCACTTTCGCGCCCCTGCGTCGTTCTCCCGGCCGCCCGTTTGTGTCGGCCTTCCGGTGTCGGGCCGGATGGCGATTGTTGCGGCGACGACGCTGATAGAGCACAGCGTTGTTAACGTGATGGTCGAAGTGCCGACGGTTCGTGTGCATGTGACAACGATGAAATGGGCACGTGGTCCAACGCTCGCACCGTTGGGCAGGGTGCATGGGGTGTCCAGTCCGCCGTTCCGTTGATGATTCATGAACGAGATTGACCGGGGCGCCCAGGCAATTTCGTGGCCCATTGTTTTCTCGATCGCGTCTAGGAGGGATCAGGTTTTGTGACCCTTCCCTCCCCTTCCACCCTTCCCCCCGCCCTTCGCCCCCTTTCAGTCATTGCCCCCCCTCCTCCCCGCAGTAGAACAGGGAGTGCTTCGGAGCCGTTTCGCCCCGCACGCAATCGCCCCGCGCACCCCAAAACAGGGGAAGTCAAAGACAGGTGGAAGCTCACAGCCAAAGTGGTTGAGCCTTCGTCTAGGATCGAGACGGGCACCAGAGGCGACGAGCAGTGGCTCGCGAATCGCCACCGGGCCACAATTACCTGGAATCGATTCCGCTCCTGCGCGCCTGCACGAGGGCGAGGTTGCTCGGTTTCTCTCCGCGCCCCCTGCGCCTTCGGTGGCCATCTCGAGCCGCCCCCATCCAGATGAGGCTGGGCGGGGGCAGCTCGACCCGAGCGGCGGCGATCTCAGGTTTCGCGCGATCGCTCGCGGACCCCTGGCTCGCCGTCGCGGAATGGAACGTCGCGCCAGCCGAGCTCCCAGCGTCAGGATGGCCCAAAAAGCATCGACGGGGTGGCCCTGGCAGCGGGCCGCCATGTCGTCACTTGCGCGGCGGGCAACGGCGCCATATCTTTAGTTGTTTGGCAGTCGCGACGCCCTTGACGTTCCAGCTTAGCGCCAAGCGATGCTCGATGGCGCCCTGGAAGAGCCGCGTCGGCCTCAGGACGCCAATCAACTCCGGGCACGCAATACCCCGGCGCCCGCCCCCCTGCTTCCGCAGCCGAGGACTAGAACGAAGGCAAACAAAGACAACGAGATAGTCAAGTCAAAGAACGCGGCGCTAGCGACGCGCAGAGAAGCGCCGGCGCCCAACCTCCGAGAAGCTGTCGGCGAGGTCTGCGAGACGAGCGGGGGGGGGGGTTCGAGCAGGCGAACGCCCCCGCCGTCACGTTCCACATCGACCGCGAGATTTGAAGCGCCGCGCTCGCGCCCCCCCCCCGACCGCGCGGGGCCACCGCGCGATGGGGCCCCTGCGAAGCATGGGCCATAGCTTCGCGGGGGCCCGGGCCGACGCCCCCTCCGAGCGCGGCCGGCGGCTAGGGCCCGCGCGGCGGAGCATGCCGCCCCCATCGCAGGGGGCGCGGAGGTGGAGACGTGGCGGGGGCGCCGCCGCCGAGCGCGCCTCCGCGGCCCGCGGCGGGCGAGGCTCGAATCGACCCCGCGCCCGACCCGCCCACGGAGCGGCGGCGGGCGCTCGAGCCCCGCGGCGGCCCGATTCGCTGCCGCCCGGCGCCGCGGTCGCGACTTGCGCCGCCGGGGCACGGTCGCAGGGGCAGCCGCGTCGATGTCCGACCAGGGCGGGGCGCGGCCCCCCACCACGCTGCGCGGCCCCCTCCCCTCCCCCCCCTCCTCCTTCCTCCTCCTCCTCCTCCCTCCCTCCTCTCCCCTCCTCCTCCTCCTCCTCCTCCTCCTCCTCCTCCCTCCTCCCCTCCTCCCCTCCCCTCCCCCCTCCTCCTCCTCCTCCTCCTCCTCCTCCTCCCTCCTCCTCCTCCTCCTCCTGCTCCTGCTCCTGCTCCTGCTCCTGCTCCTTCCTCCTTCTCCTCCTCCTCCTCCTCCTCTCCTCCGCAGAGGCGCCGCCGAGGTCAAGAGCTCGACGTTGCCGGCTGTTCCGCTGGGCCAGCCAGAGGGATCGCGGTCGAGCCCGTCGCTGCGGACAGGGCGCGGCACGGGTCCGCTCCGCGACGGCGCCGTCGCAGCAGACCGCGGGCGACCGCGGCCAAGCTGGGTGCACATGGCCGGCCGATTGAGGGGCAAGAGATCTCGGCGGTCTGCGCCGATGGCGCCGCGGCCGAGCAAGATCCCACCGCGCCTGCCGCGGCGGAGCAATTGGATCCTCTGCGGGCCGTCGAAGGCCCATCGCAGTCGGATCTCGCTCAGTCCACGAAGGCGTTCCACGCAGCGGCCGCGCGCGCCGATCCTCCACCGGCCTTGGAACGGGAACGCGCGGCCGACTCGCGCCCGGGCACTGCCCCGCCGAAGCCAGAGTGGTCGACGACCTCAGCCCCGTCGACGCGCGGGGGCCGCTCGCCCGACCACGGCATGCCTGTGGACGTGGATAATCTAACCGAGACGGCAGGATTTTTACCATTGCAATTTTCATTGGATGTTCGCGCAATCTTTCCGAGACCCATCACGCCCCCCCCCCCCCCCCCCCGCAACGGCGGGGGCGCGGCCCCGCGCGCGGTCTGGCATCGCCGACCGCCAGTCAGAGCAGCAGGCCCATTCACTGGAGTCCGCAGCGCCAGGGCCCGCGCCCCCGCGCGCGGACCCAACCAGGGGTATTCTCGACGGGTCGGCCCGACGGCTGGGGCCCCAGGTCGCCCCATGGATGCGCTCGACCTAGACAACTTGCATGGCGACTTCAGCACGTCGAAACTGATGGCCGCCCCGGTGGGGCAATGGTTTCCACCCGCCGCCACGCATGTGGCGGTCCGAATGCATCGGGCCCAGGGGGCGCCCAAAGTCTCGCGGCCCGAGCAGCGGCCGGCGCTCCCCCCCCCCGCGTCGGCCATTGTTGCGGGGCCTTCCCGTGGCGCGAAATGACGGAGCCTTTCTGGAGGGGGCGATTAATGGAGCTGCCCCGCAGAGCTTCTCGTTGAGCACAGGCCCCGGCGGCCCGGTCGGGCCCATGCGCTCTCGTTGGCGGCGCGGCCATCCAAAGCGATGGCGCCACAGAGATCTGGCCTCTGGGCAGTCCGGCGCTGCTTCTGGGCGCACGGCCACAAGATGTGGCAGTTTCAGGTGGAGCTAAGCCTCCGGCGTTGCATCGGGGGCGCGGCCAGGTGCTCGGGCTCGGCGCCGCGCTCGCCCAGCGCGGATGGCTTGCGGAGCGGCGGAGCACGCCTGGCGCGCGGCAGGCCCGGGATACGCCGCGGCCGCCCGCGCCCAAGAGCGCCGGCTCACGGCCGAGCGCGGAGCCCCCATGGTCTCCCGCAGTCGCAGACGCGTTGAAGTCACCGAAGCAGCCCGAGGCTCCCGGGCCCAAGTGGCCTCCCATCATGCGGTTCACGGCCATCGGGCCATTGGGGTTGCTCCTAGTCCTGCAGCTCGGGCGCCGAGCGCGTCGCGGCGTCGCGGGAAGGGGCCTCGGCGGGCGCCCCACTGCCGCTCGGGGAATGTGGCGCGCAGGCGATGGCCCTGCTTTGTCGCTGCGCACGCGGGGGTTGCGCGCCCGTTGCATCTCGCGCGAGGCCGCGACCCCGATCTCCACGATTGAATATCCTGGGCCCAGCCATTCTCGCGCGCCAGGGCGGCCTGGCAGGGCGACGCTGGAGGGCCGAGGGCCCGCGGTGGCTGGCCGAGCCGCTCAGTTGGACGCGGGGTGGACGCCCCTTGGAACAATAGAATGGCGCTGCCATGCCAGCGACGAACTCGACGTTCGATTGTTTCCCGACGCCCCGCGCTCACCGCTGATTTCCGGCGCGACCTCCGCGCGAATCTCGCGCGGGAAGCGTTCTGGCGCGCCCCCGGCGCCGGCCTTGAAACAGGGGCCGACGCAAAATATGATCGCGACGGGGCCCCCGGATTCCAAGGGCGGGTCGCCCGCGCTCAGATCTGTCAGCCAGTGGCGGTCGCGGCAGGAGGGCCGAGGGCCTCGCGGCCGCTAGATCGAGCCCGGGCAATCAGCGTCGCCCATGTATCCGGGGCGCGCGGCGGCCCCCGACCCGCGTCGCCGCCCCGCTGGGCCTCGCCCATGCAGCGCGAATGTGCCCGCGCACCGCGCCCTTCATTCGCTGGCGCTCGACGCCCAGACTATCCGCGAATATCAGCCTGCGCCCCGGGCCCGCGGAGCGCCGCCTGCTGGCCTCGCGGCGGCGGCTTCGGGGCCGGGGCGCTCGCGCTGCCGGTGGGAGCTTCCGATTGCGATTCCACGGGGGCACACTGGTTCGGAAGTGGGCATCGCGGCAGTCGGCATCGCGGGCGGGTCGCCGCCTCGGCGGCACCGGTTCGTTCGAGGGTCGCGGGTTGCAATCCCATTTCGGGCGGGAGGAGGAGGAGGAGGAGCGTCTCTGTGCACCGCGTGCTCCTGCCTGCCTCAGGGCGGCTCGGGCCCCCCGCCCCGGGCCCCCTCTGGCCTCCCCCGCCGGATTCTCGCGACGGCACACGCGCACGGGCGTTCGACAGATTTCGACATGCGCGCGCGACGCCCGTTTGGTAGCATGTTGTGGAAATGTGTTTTTACACACACACACACACACACACACACACACACACACACACACACACACACATATATATACTGTGTGTTTTTATATAAAATATCCCGGCAAAGCAACCTAACAGCGATGTGTAGAAGCATATCTGAAAGCATTCCCCTTAAGATTCAGATGGAAATCCAGTTGTCGAATTCTGCTGTTCTCGCAGTCGTAGTCGCATTCGCGATGACAGTCGCAGCGGCAACGGCAGTCGCAGTCACAGCCTCAGCCTCAGCCTGCCTCAGCCTCAGCCTCAGCCTGCCTCAGCCTCAGCCTCCTGCCTCAGCCTCAGCCTCGGCCTCAGCCTCACCCTGCCTCAGCCTCAGCCTGCATCAGCCTCAGCCTCAGCCTCAGCCTGCCTCAGCATCAGCCTGCTTCAGCCTCAGCCTCAGCCTGCCTCAGCCTCAGCCTCAGTCTGCTTCAGCCTCAGCCTCAGTCTGCCTTCAGCCTCGGCCTCAGCCTCAGCCTGCCTCAGCCTCAGCCTGCCTCGGCCGCAGCATCAGCCTGCCTCAGCATTCAAAATGTGGCCCAGGAATGGAGTTCTGGGAACTAGAAGAACACGAAGTGGCCTACAGTTGGCTCCGGGCATTCAAAATCATGCCCAGGAATGGAGTTCTGGGAACTTGAAGAGCACGAAGTGGCCTACAGTTGGCTCCGGGCATCCAAAATGTGGCCCGGGAATGGAGTTCTGGGAAATCGAAGAGCACGAAGTGGCCTACAGTTGGCTCCGGGCATCCAAAATGTGGCCCGGGAATGGAGTTCTGGGAAGTCGAAGAGCACGAAGTGGCCTACAGTTGGCTCCGGGCATCCAAAATGTGGCCCGGGAATGGAGTTCTGGGAGCACCAAGAGCGATTTTGCGAGGATGTCCCAAGCGATTTCGGCTTCGACGGCAGCCTCCCCGGGTCCCGCCCAGACCCCCCTGAGGAGTCATGATGCTCTCTTTTGAGACCATAGAAACCTATCAGCAAGAGCTGTTAGGTAAAATCCAGTTGTAGAATTCTGCTGTTCTCGCAGTCGTAGTCGCATTCGCGATGACAGTCGCAGCGGCAACGGCAGTCGCAGTCACAGCCTCAGCCTCAGCCTGCCTCAGCTCAGCCTCAGCCTGCCTCAGCCTCAGCCTGCCTCAGCCTCAGCCTCAGCCTGCTTCAGCCTCAGCCTCAGTCTGCCTTCAGCCTCGGCCTCAGCCTCAGCCTGCCTCAGCCTCAGCCTGCATCAGCCTCAGCCTCAGCCTCAGCCTGCCTCAGCATCAGCCTGCTTCAGCCTCAGCCTCAGCCTGCCTCAGCCTCAGCCTCAGTCTGCTTCAGCCTCAGCCTCAGTCTGCCTTCAGCCTCGGCCTCAGCCTCAGCCTGCCTCAGCCTCAGCCTGCCTCGCCTCAGCATCAGCCTGCCTCAGCATTCAAAATGTTGCCCGGGAATGGAGTTCTGGGAACTCGAAGAACACGAAGTGGCCTACAGTTGGCTCCGGGCATTCAAAATGTGGCCCGGGAATGGAGTTCTGGGAACTCGAAGAGCACGAAGTGGCCTACAGTTGGCTCCGGGCATCCAAAATGTGGCCCGGGAATGGAGTTCTGGGAAGTCGAAGAGCACGAAGTGGCCTACAGTTGGCTCCGGGCATCCAAAATGTGGCCCGGGAATGGAGTTCTGGGAAGTCGAAGAGCACGAAGTGGCCTACAGTTGGCTCCGGGCATCCAAAATGTGGCCCGGGAATGGAGTTCTGGGAGCACCAAGAGCGATTTTGCGAGGATGTCCCAAGCGATTTCGGCTTCGACGGCAGCCTCCCGGGTTCCGCCCCGACCCCCCTGTGGAGTCATCTGTTGCTCTCTTTTGAGACCATTAGAAACCTATCAGCAAGAGCTGTTAGGTAATAAAAAAGGAGCTCGCGCGTTAGCTTTTTTAGCAAATCTGTGTTACGAAACCGTGTGTGTTTGTATGTGTTTTGGAAACTCGATTGCGAAGTCCTTCCGGCACCGAAGGTTTTTGAAGGATTTCGGCATGCGCACGCGACGACGCGCGCGTGCGCACTTCGTCCCAGTATTTTGCAAGGGAATCGAGAAAAAGTGCTATGCTAGAACAAAAATGTCACCGCATAGTGTTTGTTTACAAGGGAATCTCAGGGGGGGAACCCGGCTGGCCTGGGACATTGCGATTTCATATTTAGGATGGACATGTGGTCATAATCATATGTGATTTACATACCCGAAAGGGGGGGCGATAACGCCGGGGGGGTAGAGTCTAGAATTCTAGGTTGCGCAATCGACGTGGCGAAACGTATCGGCGCAGTCTCTGTGGTTCAATTTGTTGGTGCAGGCTTGTTCTCAGAGCGTGAATTACCTACCCCGCTTTCGCTTCCAGGCAGAACCAAGCCATACCATGCGCCTCCTCGTCAAGCGGCCTGACCAGTACAGGCTGCAATTTGGCATCGTTTGGTATCTCTTGGAAGCGAGGGTGGTCAAAAGCGAGGTAGGTCTGTTTTCCCCCTATGTTCCGTTGTCAAATCTGCAGCAGACCCCACATGGTTGCCCAGGAGCGCCGACCAGGCGAAACTTCGGCGGCCACGGCCAGCGCACGAGGCGCCCACGAGGCGCCCGCGGGCGCCCACAGGGCGAAATCTCGGGGGACCCCGTTCGCGCGCGGGGCTCTCACGAGGCGCCTACCAGGCCGTACATTTCGGGGGTGGACAGAACCCCCAACAGTGACACGTCGATTAGTGAATTGTCCGTTTTCGGTTCTCGAGAGGGCGCCGCGGCCGTTATTTTCCAGGCTTGCGCCCGCCAGGTTTGGGCCTCAGGTCGTTTTCACTAAACCACGTTTTACTAAAGGGGGGTCTGTCCATCCCCGAACATTGGCGGATCCATTCAATTATTTGGGCAAGAAGAACAAGTACCTCCAGGTTCAAACACCGCGTGGATAATATGCATGCATGGATGTATGAAGGTAGCTGTCGTTGTTCCCTGTTCGCGCTCGCGAAATGTGCGTGTAAAGGTGCCCTACGTGGACAACATCCGCATGGCTATGGAAGCCGCCTGCACCAGGCCGCCCTCCTAGGGGGGAGGGAGGCTCGCTGTTCACTGGAAGGCTGGGTCTGCACACATCGGGCGCGAATTCATGGGGGCGATGTATGGGTGGGGGAAAAGAGGTGCCCGTCTCGGGCCCGAAAGGTCCCCGTCTGGGCCCACAAGAGCCCCTTCAGGGCCCCAGCGGGCTCTTTTTCTGCAGCTTTCGCCGCCCCCTCATCTACCGCCCTCCTTTCCGCGTTTTTCGCGGCCCAGACACATTCCCTCCTCCCCGAAGCGGCGCCGCAGGCAGGGCGCCCCGCCCCCCTTCTTCCCCTCTCCGCGGCGCCGCCCCCCCCCCCGCGAGCTTCGAAGCCGGGGGCATGTCCCTCGACGAGCTGCTGTCGCAGGCACGCCCGCGCGCCGGGGGAGGGGGAGGAGGGGGAGGAGGAGGAGGAGGAGGAGGGGGAGGAGGAGGGGG